GGGAGCAGCCAGGGAAGGGGAAGAAAGGCCGAGGATGGTCTGGGTGTGGCCTGTGGGGGGAGAGAGAAAGGGCTTAGGTTGTTGGGGACGGGAGGGAGAAGAAAAAGGGCCGGGGCTGAAGCGGCCCAGCCCTCCCCCGATAGCCAGTGGGAGAGCCGGGGTTGCCTACCCGGGAGGAAGGGGGCTTAGTGAGCATAGCAAGCCGGGGACGCAGCCCCCTACTAACAATCTACATTTTAAAATACGTTTGAATGTTCTTATGTTCTAGAGGTCCTATAGTGTGTGGGGGGCAACGGCACACTTTGGCTTCCCAAATATAGTATCAGTGGAATTTTGGGGTTGATCTCTGGACAAGAATCTGCCAACCCTCAAAGTGAGAACTGAGGATTTTAAGTAATTTATTATATACGGTTCCAGGAAACCCTGCTCGCAGTGTGAATATGGATAGAAACCTAGCAACACACTGTGATCCCGGAGGAATGGAATGGGAGGAAAAAAGAGAAACTACAATGCCATCAGGTCAGTCCCTCCATTCTTCCCCCTCCTCTGGACTCTTCCGGACTCCTTTTCCTTCCACTGGACACCTTCTCACCCAGGATATTACAGAAGTAGATGGGTTCATGGAAAGATCTCGGGCGTGTGGAATCTCTCATAGGGAGAGACAGGTTGGAAAGACTGGGATTGCTACATTACAGTGGAGATGAAAGAGGGGGCATGAGAAAAGTCCATTAAATGAAATGCTACGCTGGTGGGTTGCTGTACTTTTTTCTTCATCATAGGGATGTAAAATCAAATTGTATTGCGCTGATTACCACTGAGTGGTACAGCTACATTCACTTCCTGGACCAGTTCCTGTCCTCCAAATGGGACTAGATTAAGAAGTGCCTCTTTAGGTGCCACACTCTCATCACTGCCAGTTGGCAGGGCCCAGCCCTTGGCCCCTGGCTCCTGGCCCTGGCCATCTTTCACTCTGACCGGCTCTTCCCCTGCAGCCCTACTGGCTGTAGACCCTCCTCACACCATGCTTCCATCATTTCCATCTGGCCTAAGCTGAGACCCTGCATCCCCAGCCTGCTCACTCATACTCCCAAACCGAGACCCCCACCCCCTCACACACCACCCTACTGAGACCCCACACTCTGAGTCTGCTCATTCATACCCCCCCAAGCCGAGACCCCTCACCTTTTTATTGCATTGGGACCTCCATGGACCACCAACACTGGTCCTCCCAGGCCCTACACATAAGTCTATCTAGATGTCTTGAGTGATCCAGAGCGTTCCCACCAGCTAGGCATATTTACTAATGTATCTTAAAGCTGTTGCTTTGTTACAATTGGTCTTAGCTCCCCGTGGATTGTAAATTTAGCAGACTCTGATGTTCCTCCTAAAGAACGACCAAAGCTTGGTTCAGCGTGAGGCATTTGGTAATGTTTATTATCAACGAAGATGGGTATTAGCACACTGGCACGTTGTTTATGGGTACCAACGCATTTTTCTGTGACAATGGTACCAGTCCGGTCAGCACATTGGGCACTTCTTCCCCAGGCTGGTACAAAGACTCTTATGGCTCCTCCTTTTGTACCTTGAAACCAACAAGTAACGTAGTACACTCCAGACATTGTTTGTTATCCCCCTTAGCATTGTACCTGCTAGTTAGACCAAAACATCCTCATTCCTCATTGTGTCATACCCTCCTTCTCCTAGCATGGGTCATTGTGTCTCTCTGCCATCCCTTTGTAATGGGTCTACATTGTTACCTGAAAGGTCTGTGTGCTTTGTACCATCTGCAAGGTCAGGATTGGGGTGACGTGGTTCACTGACATATGAACCATTTGCTCTAACTCAAGAGTACCAATTATGAACAATACAGTTCCACACTTGGATGAAGTGAACACACCTTTATGGAAACAATGCAGGAAAGCACAATGTAAGAGATGGAGATTAATTAAAATGTCCTAACCCATTTAAATCAGGAGAGGACACTTCAATAAATCAATGAATGCCTGCGGCTTACAATGGCAAGTGAAACATCAGCAATTTAAACTTGGACTGTCACCGGTTACCACATCCCGTTCTCCCCTTTCTTCCTCCCAGTGTGCATGCCTGTGACTGGCTTGCATGAAGTCATGGAGATCTGCAGCCCAGGACAGCACTCCATTGGGCCAGTCAAACAGCCCAGCCCAGGCACGAAGGGGCAGAGCAATTCTAAGGTTGGGTTCATTCCAAGGCACACAGCCCCTCTGAAAATGGGAGGAGTTAGGATGCTGGTGAGACGGTAAGAACACTGCGTCTCTTCTCAGCCTCAGGGAATCCCGTGAAGTCTCCTTGATGTGCCCTTTCCCTTGTAACGAACCCTGTGGGCCCACCTCAACCTGTCCTGGGCTCAGCAACAGTCTCTGCTCCACTGAAACACAAGCAAAAGCTGTCGGGGCTCCCTGCTTGGCCAAAGCTGGAACAGGCTCTCAGCAGAAATGTGTGGTTTGGACACAGCTTCATTTATCAATCTCCCTTCCCTTGACCTGGATCCTGGTTTCCCTCCAAGGTGCAGCTCAAAGCATGTTCTCCCTGCAGCTCCTGAAGGTGGAACAAACTCTCTCTCTCTCTCTCTCTCTCTCTCTCTCTCACAAGGCATCGTGGGAGTTGTAGGATCTTCCCAAATGAATCTTCCCAAAGGCTATGTCTAGACTGCACGCCTTTTTCGACAGAGGCTTTTTCGACAGTATCTTTCGAAAAAGCCTCTGTCAAAAAAGAGCGTCTAGACAACAAGAAGATTTTTCGAAAAAACCGCTCGCTTTTTCGAAAGAGACTCTAGATGCTCTCTTTCAAAAAATCCCTGTTTTCATGCAATACCACTTTTTTTTGAAAGATAACTTTCGAAAAATGGCATTATTCCTCGTAGAATGATGTTTATCGCCATCGACAAAACTGCCGCCTTCTGTCGACTTACTGTTGACAGAGCACGGCAGTAGTCTAGATGCAGGTGTAGTTTTTTTGAAAGAAGGCCACTTTTTTCGAAAAAACCCTGTACTTTAGACATACCCAAACAGAGTTAAGATGGTTCACTGGTAGAAGGTGCTTACAGGAGCTACAGGAGCTACTTCTGGTAGAAGGTGCTTACAGGAGCGATTCATGCAGGATAGCAGTCTCTGTGCTGGGAATGCTTCCAAGTCTCAAGTCAAATTGCAGATGACCCGACCTAAAATACCAGGACACTTGTGACAGTGATATTAGTAGTAATGGCACATGTATTACCCCTTTCTTCAGCCGTCAAGGCCCTCTTGTCTAGTGGTGGCTCTTTGTACTGGTCCCTCTTCCCATTGCTGCACTTTGTTTTCCCTGGTTGCTCATTCTATATAGCGGTCATGTTCACAGAATCATGACATCCTAGGGCTGGAAGAGACCTCAGGAGGTCATCAAGTCCAGCCCCCAGACCAAAGCAGGACCAACCCAACTAAATCAACCCAGCCAGGGCTTTGTCAAGCTGGGACATAACCTCCAGAGATGGAGATCTTACCACCTCCCTAGGGAACCCATCTCAGTGCTTCCCCACCCTCTTAGGGAAATAGTTTTTCCTAATGTCCAACCTAGACTTCCCCCACTGCAACTTGAGACTATTGCTCCTCATTCTGTCATCTGTCATCACTGAGAACAACCCCTCTCCACTCTTTTTGGAACCCCCTTTCAGGTAGTTGAAGGCTGCTGTTAAATCCCCCCTCACACTTCCCGTAAGATATCAGAGTTTCACAAAATAGTCTGGAACCTGGATTTTTCAGAACTCCCAAAAAGGTCAGCTTAACTATTTTATCTCAGGTGGCTTCAGGAATAAATCAGTGGGAAAAAGGCAATTGTGTCTGATCAATGAAGCATGGCTGAACAAATTACTGACCTACCAAAAACAAACGGTGTCTTGAAAAACCTATCTCAAGATGGCTGCTCCAAAGTTCCCTCATCACTTCTACAAAACATATAGTTCAGAGTGCCCCTGCTGTAACATCCCTAGGCCAGTTGTCAATAAACTTCTAATATCAAAGGTGTCCAGACTGAGAGTTTTCACCCATCCTATTTTCCAATTAACAATTAGCTATTTATTACATTAATTCATAGTAACTGAGTGTACATCATGGGATTGCAGTTAGCTTACCCACATTCTCGGGTACACAACCCTTGAATCCAGAGTCACAGAGTCTATTTCTCAATACCCTCTTCTGTCATGTGGTTTTATAGTCAGTGGTACCAGTCAGGCATGTTGTGTAGATGAATATAACCACTTTCTCCCGAAGCTCTTTGGTTTTGACCCCATACACGATAGGGTTGAGCATGGGGGGCATGAGGTAAGTGAGGTTGGACAAAATGATGAGCACATAGGGTGTGATGCCCTGACCGAACCGGTGTGCCAGAGTGGAGAAGAGGCCGGGGGGATAAGCCATGAGTATCACAAGGATGTGGGCAGTGCAGGTGCTGAGGGCTTTCTGGTGGGCTTTCTTGGAGGAGATTCTGAGGAGAGCCCTGAGGATCAGCGCGTAGGACATAGCAATGACTGTCAGGTCAAACCCCATGACTACAAATGCCAACACCAAACCATACATTCTGCTGCCTGTAATGTTCCCACAGGACAACTTTGCCACAGTCATGTTGTCACAGTATGTGTGGGCAATAATGTAACTGGAACAGAATGGCTGTCTGCTCAGGAGAAGAGGCACAGGAAGGATGAAAAGAACAGCTCTTATCAAACCCACAAGCCCTAGCTTCACTATCCGTACATTGCTGAGGATACTTGTGTATCTCAGAGGGTTACATATGGCAATATAGCGATCAATAGCCATTATCATTAAGACACCTGAGTGCACAGTAGAACCCGCCTGAAAGAAGAAGAGCTGGGTGAGGCAGCCACCTAGAGTGATGCTTTTCAAATTGAACCAAAATATACCCAGGGCCTTTGGGATGAAGGAGGTAGATGTGACAATGTCTGAGAGCGCCAGCATGCAGATCAGCAGATACATTGGCTTGTGCAAGCTCTGCTCTTTGGCCACAATAGACAGTACTGTGAAATTTGCCAACAGAGCTGTCATGTAGAATGCAGCAAAAGGGATGGAAATCCAGATATGAGCATCTTCCAGGCCAGGGATGCCCATTAGGATGAATGTTGGCGGGTCATAGTGGAGGTGTTGATGCATCAATAGGGTGCAGAAATGAACAATATGCCTGTGAACAGAGAGAAGCAGAGTGATGGAGGTCACACACTTCGTAAAAAGAGTGTAAAATATTTTATCATTATCGACAATCTACACAGGGGGGTTATCACGGAGGCGGAAAAATTTATAGATGATAAATTATTAGCCAAAAATCAAGAAGTCCTTGAAGGGAGCTATCCAAGCTGTGTGAATGAACAACATGCTGGATGAGGAATTTCTAGGTCAATTTGTTCAACATATGTCCCCATGTAACAAGTGACACAGACTCTGCAGAGGCAGAATTTCGGAGATTGTGGGATGGCTTGAAGTTTGTGGAAGACACGGAGGACTAGAGAGCATGCAGAAGACATATAAACAGCTGGTTGTTGTAACTGGGGAAACCTGTCATGGAGAACGACAATATAGAAAGGGGTCAGAGTGTGATGGGAGAAGGAAGACAGTGAAACACCACAAAGTGTGATGGTACCCGCCAAACCAGGGTGACACCAGGAACTATTCTCTCTGTACTGCTATCACAAGCTACAACCCATTCTCTGTCGGATACCTGGAAAAACTTCCACACAGGCAGGAACCCACCCAGCTGCACTTAATTGCGGGCTCTCTGACTAACCACTGGAATAACAAACTGAAGGAAGACTATAGCTAAGATAATCTGCAACTCCCATCCTAGAACCCCAGGATGGAGGAGGAGTAAGGTCCAAACTCCAACCAGTATGAATTCTTTGCCCAGTTCTAATGTCCCTCAATGTGGGGAGGGCACTGCGCACGCGTGGTAATCAAGCTGAGATTTTCCTCCCCCACACTGCACTTTAAGGCACACTGGAGTTAGATTAAAACATAAAAGAAATTTATGAAACACAGCCTGGGCTTCCCATTTCGAGATGAAGGTTAGAAATCCATGGAGCTTGGATCCAGCCCTTCCCCCGCTCCTTTCCTTTTCCTTGGGTTTCTCCAAGCATCTATTGTGTGGGGAGGGCAGAACCACTAAGGATGCCACTCCCCACCTCTACCGCTTTAACATGCAGTGGGAACGCTTTCTTTAAAAAGCTGGCTCCCAGCTG